TGCTTTGTCATATCATGTATGAACCAGCATCTCAGCTGCATCTAGTGAGTGGTGTTTCATTCTTACACCTTTTCCAGCTGAGAAATCACCTCAGCACCTTTTAGGGAGGAGTCATCATGATACAAATGGAAGCTGCTGCTTTCATTTATAAAGTAGCAGAGTTCAGCTAAATATCATCCTGTAAGTTTTCAGGGGTACTTTTTAAATAGTAAACTGTAAGGATAAATTCTAGATTTGAGCTTCACTTTATTCTAGTTGTTTATTTGTCAAGTTCTGTTCTTCCCATTATGAGCAGAGCTACTTAAGTCAGCACGAGTGGTGCTGCATGGTATGTTTTCATTTGGATTGTTTTGTTGGGAGACACAGGCCAAGCATAACAGGTACTTGTTTCTCAGCTGAGATGTGACATTGGTGGAAAAGATTTCTGTTGTTTCAGACTATTCTTAAAGAGTTCACAGCCTGTAGAGATGACAAAGGAACCTATCTTTCCTCATATGATAGAAGGGTAAGATTCACAACAATTCGCAAATAAAAAAACTGTAATGTTTTTTATTTTTTGTACTGTTTTTATTTTTAGAGGTATTTTGAGTCTAAAAGATGTATAGAAATTACTAATTTAAAAGATATATTTACATTTCTTCTAGGAAGTTAATGTGAAGAGATAAACTGCTAGCTTTGATTTTGTGGAACTTCCCTCAGTAATGGGAACATCCATATTCTTTTCACAGAAAATGGAAGGAAAATGCAAGAGGGATACAGGACACGTGAAATCAGAGCAATGCGTACATGAGGTTTTTTAAGGCATTGATGGCAATAGAGTGGGAGAAGAAAATAAGTTTTTTGAAGCTATGTTGAACTGCAAGTTGATAAGAAACTGCGAGAAGGTAGTAATCTAGTTGGAAGTAAGGTATTCAAAAAAAGAAGACAGTTCATTGTAGAGATCTGTGTTGTTAAAAGTGAATGTGGGAGGCCAGAGTACAGTTGGTTTTTTTTTTTTGTTTTAATCTGTTCTGAAACCAATGTCTGCATTTATTGGCTGTATCAAGAGCTGAGCTAAAAATAGAAAAAACTTCCAAAGTTAACCTTACTACTTTAAGTAGAGAAATTACTTAAATATCTGATAATTTTTAGTAGTGAATGTAAGATACCTTCCTCTGGTATCTGTAAGATGAGTGATCATTCATACAGCCTTGGAAGTAAAAGGAAGGGTTTTCAGGAGAAGGATCTGGGGCATGAACTTTCCCTTTCTGTTATTTTCTTGTTTATATGCATTTCAATTAAATAAAAGAGGGTTTTGTTGGGTTGTTAAAATCAAATAAAGGGAGAGCTTGATACGATAAACTCCATGAATTGCAGTGTTTCTCTTCTAGATGGTGCATGAAATAATGCACAAAGTACAAAACCACTAAAATGTTTTGTTAGGCCCCCAACTTGCAGTGAGCTGAGCAGGTTGTTAGAGCTTTTCCTTGTTCTGACAATCCGGCCATTCTTAAGTAGAGCCTTCACTCAGTATCCATTTGCATCTTATGCTGAAAAGTACTGATTCTGAAAAGTGTCCACTTGCTTTTGGGATAGGGCAGGATTTTTTTTAGCACTGTTAGTGTTCTCAGTGTGCATTGTATTATGCCAGCTTCTAGGAAAATAACTGTGAGAAAGAGACAGATGGTATTTTAGCCACAAAATACTAGATATTGTTTTAACAAATCTGCTTAGTTTTGCTGCGGGTAACAATAATGCTTCTGTACCCTTTTTACTGTTTCCATGGAGTCACCAGCTTGGATAGGGTTTTTTTGGTTCATGTTTTAGAGCAAGGGCCAGTGGTAATTTTAGCATGAGCAGTCTAGAAGCACTGGATTCATCCCATATTCCTTGTGTAGAGCCTCATATCCAAGGCATATTGTGAGCTCAGTTCAGCAGGTATTTTAATATTCATGAAAATTATGGTATTGATTAGAAATCTAACTACAATACAGTGATTTTTGTGCAGTCAAAATCAGAGGGTGGTTAGGATTTGTCATGAAGAGCTGTTTGTCAAGTCTGAGCTGAGTTTTTGGGTTGATGTTGACATGCTGAATTATGATGTAATGCTAAAATAATGTAACTCATGCTTTTAATCACAGTTGTTCTAGAGAGCTGTGCCTGGGACTTAATAAATCACCACTTTGAACTGTAGTGCAATTACATTCATCATGCAACATCTGTCAGTGAATATTTTCTATTCTTCTCTCCAGCTTGTCCTGCAGAGTCTTGTCTACTGTAGTCCAAGTTATTTCCATTTGACTCTCAGTCTAGTATGCCACACACCTATGATTACAGTATGTGTCTTTTAACCTCCAAGTCTGTGGTAAAGAGAGCTGGAGAGACACTGAAAAGAGCCCAAGCATCCAAACCAGAGAGGTTACTCAGCAGAGATAAGAGTTGGGTGCTCATGCCATCTTCAACAAACACCTAGAGCAGATAGCACCTATGCAACAAAGGGAACTGTTCAGTTATGCTTTACTTTAAATCTTATTTCATATTTAAAAGTTCATTGGGCAAAATGGTGCTTCTCTGTATCTTTCTCGGGAAAGAAAATTAAGATGTGTTATTATGAATAGTCTGGATACTGCTTAACACTGCTGAAGTGTTCTTAGATCAGAGCTATGAATTCTCAGCCCATCCTAAATACCCATCACTGCAGCATTCTGGTACAATTATAGGGCATTGTTAAAAGCAAGAAGAAACATGCGTACATTAATTTATTCATTCATCAAGATGAAAGGCAGTATGGCTGATTAAGATTCTAAGAGTTAATGGAATTCTTTTTCCTTCTTTTTTTCTGAATCCCCAGGCTCATCTCTAAGTACATGTTATGGATTTGGGTATCATGTCAGGCATATTGGTCTCCTGTTTTTGCTCCTGTTCCAGTCAATGGCGAAGGTCCCTTTCACTTTAGCACTGTACAGACTGGTAAAGTGGTTTTCAGCTACAGGCATTTCTTCATATTTCAAGTATGATTTTTTTAAACTGTATTTGGGTAGGCAATTTGCTATCTATTCTATAAGATTGGAACTTCTTATTATGAGGCTGGAACCAGTTTTGCAGTGGTTCTCCTGTAAAGTTATTTCACACAAGTGTTTTCTATGAGTTTTGCAATTTCAGATGCCTCTTGCATTTGGTGGTTCTCATATTGGGCAGCTGTTGCATAATTAGCAGTCTTTCTACTTGCTATAAATGTACAGCTATTTGCATACTCTTCTGTAATGAGTCCTGCTGGGAGATGCATTAAGAGTAAAGGACTGTGATGGCTGTGGTACAGAATCATGGTGTGCAGTCGAAATGGACAGCAGCATCTGGTGTTAGAAAAGGGACAGGTTTCTCTGTGTTTTGGAAAGTACTTGGTTCACAGTAAGTGAATTGGATATTTGAACAAGTTGTAAGATTGTCAGGCAGAGACTACGAGTTTTGCTCGTACCCCTATGGTATGTAATAACTAACTGGGGGGACAGCCTTAATTTTGAGAAATTTTTAGTGTGTGAGATTGCTTGTCTGACTTTGAAAGGAAATACTATTGCTGAAACAGAACCTTTTGTTCTGAAATGCATCTGAGTTTCCCTATTGACTGTATCACCATACATAACAGGAGATTTGTTACTGTACTTTGCCTGCTTTGTGATACTGATGGCAGATCCCATATGCTTGTTCTGCCTAAACAAGGTTTGTGGATGCTCTCGGTTGTACAAACAGCTCTCCACAGCTGGAACATGACAGGGAAAGTGGCCTACAGCTTGCAAGTGATCTTTCTCATTCAGCTTTAGTATTAAGCTGCTGTAGAAATGTCCTGATGCTGTCATTGTAGTGCTGTAAAGAAGAACAGCGGCGAGTAAAGTGCTGCAGGAAATGCCTTCAGATGACCGTTTGGTTGGACTTGTTGAAACAGCCTCAAAATTCCCTCATGGGACACAGGGACATTAAGTACTTTTCTTGTCCTTCCTTCCACTGATGTGTGCAAGTCTTTTTATATAAACAGCCTTTCATATTTGGAGGTCTCTTTACTTAAAAATTAATGTGCAACCTGACAGTAACAGTGGAAAGCTTGCCTGAAATCTAGCACTGGAGAACTAATCATTATTGCTGGAAGGTTTCACCACTACCACTACACTGTTCTCTGTCTTATTCTTTGCAGTCTTAATGTTTCAGTGCTTTGCCCATCTCCAAACTGATACACCAGATCTCGAAACATTCTCTCAGCTAGTGGCCACAAATGGGAATAATAATGCTATAAAATTAAAATGAATACAGGGATAATGATGATGTTTATCCAGAATTTTATTTTATTTGTTAATAACCAGATGTTAAAGCCCCAATTGGTAGATTACAGTGTGATACTGTCATTTCTTGCCTCATTTGTAAATTAGGATCTTAATCCTCCAAAAGGCATAGGCACTCATTTCTCACTCCATGGGGACAATTTCTAGTCCTGAACAGGCCCTTGCATGTTATTAGTTTTCTGCTTCCTCAGAGACCTGGAATGCCGATTGAGGACTTCACTTGCCTTTTCCTCTTGTGGCAGATGGTAGCAGTGCTGTAGTGAGTCTTTGAGTTTGGCACAGGATCTTGAAGAGGATCAGGGGTTGGGAAGGGGTTGAGAATGTTATTGTTGGTAGATCCTTGAGACTAAAATGTCTGGTTGGTGGTTACCTCAGACTGCAAGGATTGGAGTAAATCACCCGTCCCTTCCAGTCTTGTATTCTTGGTAGCACTAATCTTTGTGGTAAATGAACACCTGTCTTCAATGCAAAGCACCTCTTTCTGAGAACAGAAAAGGGCAAACATGGAATTCCCACAGGTGTGCCAGACTGGTGTTCAGAAGCATTATTGTGCTGGGGTCTGCCTTGTAGGTTTTCAGACAAAAATTGCAGTATTTTGGAGATGGGAGCGCTCTGTTGTCTTCTGTAAGCGTGTGAGTGGTCCAGATGCAGTGTCTGCTGACAGATAATAGTATGTCTTATTTCTCACAGGGCTTCCAAAGCAGCTGAGTCTAGGACCTTAAGGAATGTCACACAATAGTTGCTGAACTAACTGACACTGAAAGGATCAGAAAAAGATGGCAATCCATATTTGAAATAAACACGTGGACTCTCTGATAAAAAAAATGTCAAAAAAAGGACGGAGCAAGGGCGAAAAGCCTGAGGCGCTGATTGTTGCCCTACAGGCTGCCAATGAGGAACTCAGGACTAAGCTAACAGACATTCAAATTGAGCTGCATCAGGAGAAATCTAAGGTGAGAGAGTTTGATTTTAAATAAAAGTGTCTGCTAAATAAGACAAACACGTGGAAAAAATAGTACCACAGAATTCAACAGAGGCCACACAACTCTCCTAAATAATTGGTCTGATTCTTTCCCAACTTATAACATTTGCTGATGTCCTGTGGCTTCTGTGGAAAAGACTCCATTTTACTGAGCTACAAGTTGGAGAAATCTCTGGCCCTCAAATGGGGCAGTATGTGAAAGTTGTAGGAATTTTGCTTTTTCTGAGCCCTCCAATTTTCTGGTGAATTTGGCTGCTGGGCTAAAAAGCTTTTAGACAAATGCACACATATATACGGAGTCTTATTTCACAAGGAAATATTAAAAGTACATGTAGCATCATTGTGTGAGGCAGGACACCTGGAGAAGACAGGGTTTTTGTTTGAGTAAAGACAGTGTAATCTACGTGAATACCTCAGGAGCTGGCCTATATTTTGTTTTAGGAGCATGGAGGATTGTCTGGGGTCTCAGTGGGGTTTTTTCTCAGTTTGACATGGATGTGTCTGGGTGGGCTTGTTTTGTTAATGTTACATTGGCAGCAGATGACTTTCATTTTATCTCAATGTAGGTTGCTAAACTTGAAAGAGAAAAGACTCAAGAAACGAAGCGTATCCGCGAAGTGGAGCAACGCAAGCAGACTGTGCAGATCACAGAGCTAAAAGCCAAACTCCATGAGGAGAAAATGAAGGAGCTGCAGGCTGTGAGGGAGAACCTCATCAAGCAGCACGAGCAGGAGATGACGAGAATGGTGAAAGTCCGAGACAGTGAAATCCAGCGCCTGAAGTCGGCGCTGTGCGCACTGCGGGATGGGAGCAGTGATAAAGTACGGACAGCGCTGACTATTGAGGCTCGGGAAGAGGCCAGGAAACAGTTTGACTCTGAGCGCCTTAAGCTTCTGCAGGAAATTACTGAACTGAAGTCTGCCAAAAAGCAGGTAGATGAGGCCCTTAACAATATGATCCAGGCTGACAAGATCAAGGCAGGCGATCTTCGGAGTGAGCATCAGTCCCACCAAGAGGCCATTTCCAAGATCAAATGGGAGAGTGAAAGGGATATTCGACGCCTGGTCAGTAATCAAAACAGTTCATATGTTCTCTTAGGCTGCACTGAGTTTGCCTTTTGTGTCTCTTAGCTTTTTCTGCATAACAGATCTTTGCAATGCAACTCACCTTGAAAAAGTATTACAGATTTCTCACTGTTGTTTGTCAGGAATAAATAGATCATGGTGAGTCAGCTGTAACACTGTTACGGCAGTTAACAGCTTAAATTAAGAGAGTGATTGGCCTAATCCATAAGGATTTGGCTCTCTGATTTATTAATGCATGAAAAGTGCAAAGGGTTAGATAAAGAGCATTTGCATCTGCACTTGCAGTGTTTTGGTTTCTCCAGCCTGTGTTATGATATCCTAAACACAATAAACCATGGCAGGAGAGGATATATCTTTTGGGTTGGCCTTGGTGGAGCCTTCAGTAATTACTGTGGAAAATGAACAAAAAGAAGCCCACACCAGAAAAGGTGCAGGTTGCATTGTTTCCCTGTGTCATGGTTTAGAAACGTCCCAATTTTGCTCCCACTTAGACTTTCCAAACCATACTGACACTTGTTCACTCCCCATTTCCTCAGTGGTCTAGAGAGGAGAATTGGAGGCAGAAAAGGTAAAGATGAGATCATGAATTGAAGTAAGACCACTTGACTGGAAACAGCAATGAGATATGCACATGAGAGAGGAGAGCAGCTTACATGCAAAATGCTCAGCATGGCACCTGTGACCTGACCACAGCCATGCTACCCTTATGCAGAAGGATCCCTTTCCCCATCCCCAGAAAATGACATGAGATGATATAGAATAACCTCTGGCTATTGCAAAAATTAACCTTGTCCTGGCCAGAACCAGGACACAATGTCATGTGGAGAGCTGGACCTGCTTGTAAGGGTAGAAAATTTAGCTTGAAAACTGGAATTCAAGAATTGACAATTAAGTAAAATAAATGGGAATTTAAACTGTCAAGAATGATACCCCCTTCTCCACCTCCAGTTTACAGTCTCCATTATAGAGGTGTATTCTCGTGTTGCCAAAATACTCAATGAATGTGCTTCTGTGCCAAGGTATGGGTATGGCTCAGACTGTGTTGCTTTACAGGCCTGATACAGTATGGTAGAGCAGGTTTGAGGGGTGATCACTGCTCTTAAGTAAATCATACAGTACGAACTGAAGGAATGCTGTTGTCTTCACACAGTAATATTGTTCTGGTGTTTCTTTCATTCAGATGGATGAGATCAAGGCTAAAGACAGGATCATATTTTCATTGGAGAAAGAACTGGAGACACAGACAGGCTATGTGCAGAAGCTGCAGCTGCAAAAGGAAGCTCTGGATGAACAGCTCTTTTTGGTGAAGGAGGCAGAGTGCAACATGAGCAGCCCCAAGAGAGAGATCCCAGGAAGAGCTGGCGATGGTTCGGAGCACTGCAGCAGCCCTGTATGCAGGTTTTACTGGTCCCTGCAAAACAGTAGCATGGATGTGTGTTTCTTGCTGACATACCTTCTCAGGCCCTAGGAAAACATTGCCACTCATTCATCACAGACAAGTTAATGTCCACAGAGTCTTTAGAGGGCATGCTAGTTGGACAAAACTTTGTACTACTGGTTTTCATCAGTTGTTCTAGTCACAGATATAAATATCCTAAATAATCAGTGCCTCTTTGAAAGAATCATTGATGAACCTCACTACCTGGGTAACATAGATCCTCAAAAGCACATAGAATTACAAGGATGAGCAGAGAGGGGCAAGGAAAACGCTGGGCGTGGAGAATCTTTGAGACCCTTAGGAGCTCTTCCTCTTTGTTTCCCACAAACAGCCCTTGGGTGTCATTCACAAAGCACACAAATCACCCATTGTGTGACTACAGGGAATATGTTTACACAAGCAATGCATATTTAAAAGCATGTTTACATGTATACAAATGAGAAATAAGAAAGTAAATGTAATTGATACAGAAAGGGTTGACCTGGCTTTTTCACCTGAGGTAGTGATTCAGCAAATAGAAGCAATCTACAGGAAAAGGCAATAAAAATTAGAATATTTCAGCTTTTTTATCTCTGTCATAAAAATTTATCATCTGTTTTTCTCTTAATTTTTTTAAAATGGTTTAAAATTTTCAGTTGAAGTATCCCCAAACCAGATACTTCTTCCTAAATATATATATATATTTGCTAACATATTCAGTACTGTGAAAGTCCCTAAAGGTAATTTGTTGATGATGACATCTTAGGTTGACTGGTGTGTGTTTTTAAGGATTCTCTTTCCAAGCATGTATTTTGAAGAGAATCAGTAACTGTATGACATTGCTGCCTGTGCACAGGACTTGCGCAGAAACCAGAAGAGGATAGCAGAGCTGAATGCCACCATCCGGAAGCTGGAAGACCGGAACACGTTGCTTGTTGATGAGCGAAATGAGCTGGTATGTGAGCTTTTGCACTGGCAGACAGAGGAGGTTGAGAGCAATGGGGAAGGGCAGAGAGAGGGAGAATTCAAGGATAAAGCTGGCAGTGAATATACCTTGTCCATCCATCAGGCCCATCACTCAGGAGGCTGAGGAGGACTTTTTATCCTAGAATAAAACAGTTAATTTCATTGAAATTATCTGAGTAGAAAATCACAGCAGAGGTTGAGGCAGAAAGGCTTGTAGGATTCTGTGTGAATGCTTCTGTTCTCTCCTTATAAGCAGCACGTGCTTGGTGACTTACCTTGTGCACAGTGAGACTTACCTTGTAAATGAAATAATGTCTGTTAGGTGTGTAGTCCAGTATTTGATCAGGTTGAAAATAGTGAAGTACTGAGTCTAGGAAGAATTGACAGCTGTGAATTGCTTCCTTTATCTGATTGTTTACTTTGTGGTTATATCTGTATGTTGAATCAGGATCCTGGCTATTTAACCTGTTTATATTCCTACTTCTCTGCTTAAGGATGAGAGTGATAAATTTAACTCTTGATGGGCTTTTTTATTCCTGAGCTAGAAATTTTAATGCACTCCTTTCATATCACTTTAGCCAGCATTAGTGTACTTTATGTCATAATTGCAAAATAGATGTCAAGATTGCAAATTACAAGTATATTCACATATCTCTCATGACAATTATTAATTGCTATTATCAATCCAGTTGAAGCGTGTCCGAGAAGCTGAGAAACAATGTAAACCTCTTCTGGAAAAGAACAAGTGCCTCACGAAGAGAAATGATGAACTTATGCAGTCTTTGCAGCGCATGGAAGATAAACTCAAAGCAGTCACTAAAGAAAATATAGAAATGGTTGGTGCTGAAGAGCAGAATTGGTATTACTGGAGGATCTGTGCATTGGTAGCCACATCTGCATAGTGCATGATGTATATGAATAGAGAATATGCATTGTATATAATGTGTAATACTATTGCTAAGATACAGCCATAGTTCGGTCTGTATTATTATAGATTTATATACCATAACATTGTATTATGCATACATGGGCAATATATTTACATGAATGCATAATCACAGTCTTTAATTGTATTTTCAAAGTTAGAATATTGAGTTTCAATAATTTAAAAAAAAAGGAAGAGGAAAATGATATATCATTGAGGCATGTCCTACTGAGCTATTTTTTATCTGGAACTCAAAAAGGAAACTGTTAAGAATGATGTTTTCAGCCAGAATGATGTTCTTGCATCATGTACACGTTCCTTTTGGAGATGATGATGACAAAGTAAACTGCTGGTAAGGCACTAAGCACATAGAATCTTTCCATAAAACATACACATGGTATGTGGATAGGGGAAAGGGAGAATGGTGGTGTTTAAATTTGGTTAGGGCAATACATTTCCCATGTCAGGGCCATATGAAGTGGGGTCAAAACAGTTATGTCTGTATACCCTTCAGATGGGATTGCCTTGATTATCAGTCTGCTTCCAGGCCTTATGCTCCTACACATGCACTGCTGTGGCTTTGGCATTAATGAAAAAGGAGGTGGATGTTCTGGGTTGCTATATGTAGGCTGGCAGGCTGAGATGATTTCCCTTGCTAGAAGTGTTCATGGACCTTGCCCTGCCCTGTACTAGCCACTGTCCTGAGCAGGCTAAGTGCCCTGCAATGGGAACAGCTTTCCTGCTGATTGGGCAGAGGTGATCAGATTCACTTTCCTGTCCCACAGAAAAAAAGACTTTAGTGTTACACGGTTAATCCACTTAAAGACTCTGCAATTTACCCAATCCTAAAAGACAGATAAACTTATTGCCGGTGTCATGGGTCAGAATTATTCTTCCACAGCTGTGGTAGTGCAGATCACAGTCCCTTGGAGTCTCCCACAGCCAAGGGAAAAGGACTTGGGAATCTGCATGCATTAGGCATCAGTGGGCAGCACCACTGGTGCATATCTGTAGACACAGTGTACATGTGCTCAGTTAGCTCCCTGACATCTGCTCTTCACACTATGGATGCCCAAATCACAAAAAGTTGACAAGCTGTCGGTGGCTAAAGCAATTCTCACACATTTTAGCCATCTCCTTTCCCACATATGCTCAGGAGCAGGCAGGATGTTGACCTGTAGTTAAAATAGATCTGCTACCACAGTTTTTGCCTTTCCTCCTGGTGTGACTTTCACATGAGTAAGGCATGTCCATTGCCTTACTATGTATGGTCCTACACTGAATATCAGTAAGGACATGGGGTTGTGAGAGTAGATACTATTTGCCTACCCACTGGACATGTTTAACTATTTGCCATATGTGGGGGCATCTTGATTCATGGCCAAGGAAGAGCTATGGTATGTGACCTTTAAGGGCTGTAGAGGTTGTATTTTCACATGGTAACAAATTAGATAAAGCTTTGTTGTTCTGGTTGAAGAATTCAGCCTTGCTGTGCTATTTTATTGTTAAGAAGTGCTGATGGACATGAATAAAAAAGTGGTGTAGATGAAGCATATTTAAAGATCTGTATATCTTAAATGAAAGGTGATGCTTAGTTTTTAACTGAAAGGTAGTCTTTTAATTGCTGAATCTTATTTTATCTCTTTTATCTTTTCTTCTTACCACAGAGAGAAAAAATAACATCACATCCTCCTCTAAAGAAATTAAGATCTCTCAATGACCTGGATCAGGCTAATGAGGAGCAAGAAACTGAATTTTTAAAGCTTCAGGTTATAGAACAGCAGAACATAATTGATGAGTTAACAAGGGTATGTCCAAAGCACAAGGAAATGGGGAATGATTGCTGTGTACAGTTTAACACTGACAGTATTTCTTCTTATAACTAGAGGTCTGAGCGTTAATACCGTACCTGCTTTTAAGATCTGCAGATGTTTAGATGTAGGTGTGCATGTGTGCAGTTTGCTGAATTTGTAGTGAAGCATCAGCCCTACAACTAAAACCAAAACACTGTGAATTGAGCTCCAGAAAGGAATGCAGTCTAAGAGCTGTGGAGCTTGGGAAGGTACCTGCATGTTCACAAGGCAGGGCTGTGCTGAGGTGTTTTACCATTTTAACCAAGTCGTGCTTAAAAAGTTCCTTTAACAAGAGGCTGACCCACAGTGCCATATCTTTTGCTGGAAGAGCATGTACAGCTAGACAGTGGGTTTCCAGTTCTTCTGTCATTTAATGCTGACAATTCCTTTGTCAGTGAACTTTGCATTATGATACTGAGGAGAAAGATTCCAAAACAGGCTGTTGTCTCTTCTGAGATATCATTGCTAGGAATGGTGAGATCAACACGCCCATCATTTAAGGACTTTGAGACACCATCTTCTCATCAGGGAAGGCAGACAGCCCCTTGTACAGTGCCCAAACCCATGCACCAGGCCTCCCAGTGATTTTAGAGGGCAATCCCATCGGCTCCTGTTGTTTGACAGTTGCTCAAGGCAAATGCACAAAGGCTTTTTTCAGGTGGTTTTCATCTGATGCACATACAGATTTCGATATGAATCATTCCTTCTACCTGGAATCAGATTCCTGTTTGAACATATATAGGGAGTCACTGGAACTTCTGTTATTTATTTCCTCCATATATTTGGCCATCTGTCAGTTGCAAAGAAGAGAAGAGAGAGTAACATTTTAATCTTAATTTCTAGGACAGGGAGAAACTCATTCGTCGGAGAAAGCATAAAAGGAGCTCAAAACCAATCAAGGTAAGATGAAAATTTTTTTCTTATTTACAGTGTTCAAGTAGGCTGTGTAGAAAAACACACTTTAACAATCTGATTAAAGAGAGCTTTGTGGATTATAACAATCTGCTTTAGTGATCAGGTTTATAAATTCCTTAGTTACTTTGGGAGAGCTTTTTAAATCCACTTTGAAATTCTGTTAAGGGTGTGCAGCTATTTTATTTTCAGCAAAATGGGGCTCCTGTCCCACCTGTCGTCCTTCCCACGGCTCCCCTGCCTCAGCCCCACTCCCCCCACCCCACTCAGTAGTAATAATTGTCCTTCCATTTGGTTTCTATAACTATTGGTCTCAGGGTCTGTTATGCTGAGAGGTATTTACATTATCAGAGACTTTCCCAATTTTTTTCCTAAAATCTGTTTTTCACAGAACATATGGACTAAAACCAAATCCTTGTGCATCTCTATTCTTCAGGTGGAAATTTCTGCCTGAGATACTGTAATTCCTGCTCAGTTCCACATGCCTTTGACTAACCTTTGAATCACCCTGAATTTGGTTAATCCAAAGCTGGTATAATTTACAACAATTTTAGAGCTGAGTAGTCAGGAGTAGTTCACATAGCTCCTTAATCAGCTAGATGTGAAGCATGAGTTTGCAGCATTCACATCCCATCTCCAAAAAGTGGAAATATGGGTTACTTGGTTGCACTCAGTCCTCCAAGGACATCCCTTAGTGCATCAGCCACATTCTGAGAAAGTCACACAGCACTGTCTACACACTGGAAATTTCAGTAAATCTTAGCTGTGTCATCACAGTGTTTCTGTGTGGGTCATGAAGTGGTGTATAGCAGACAACAAGAGCCAAATAGTATTTCCATCAGTAAATTTTATTTCCAAACTAGAGACTATAACATTGGAGAATATGGCAATTGTTTTCACTTGACAACACAATGAGCAAAAATTCTAATATATGCAAAAGCTAATTGATATGTTTGGTATATGTTTTTTGTGTGATTCAAACTTCAGGTTTAGAAGGTTTAACCTGTCAACAAAGTGAACGACGTTGCTAAGAAGAAGTGCATCTTAATTCCTCATTGATCAGTTTGTCTTCAGAATTACCCATAAGCTGAGTATTTAAATACTCAAATCTGTACCCTGCAACCAAGCCTGCAGGGTCAAGCATCTGTGTCTTCACAGGACATGTCTCACAGTTTGAATTTGATTTTATTCAGCTATGAAATAGGCAATAGCGAGGTGTCAGGCATACAACCAAACTATGGAGCATGAGCAATTGTTTATAACATGTGCCAGTTACTGTAGTCCTAGAAAGATGCAATAAAAGTTCCTTCACATTAGTTTTGGATTAGCATAGCTTTCACTCATATAGTCCAACAGCAATATCAGTAAGAGAAGCACCCAGACATTAAAAGTATCAGCAGTGTCTGTGAGAGAAGAAAGGGGGCTGCCTATTCTACATGTGTTTTCAGCTCCTTACGGTGTAACCTTTGCACACTACATTACACTTTGCATGTTGATAGCTGTCTTCCGAAGAGCTTCATGGTTAACAAACAATTCTCCTGCCTTCCTGTAAGGGCAGAGACTTTTCCTCTGGCATGTTGCTGCTCACATTATGTTTTCCAGTTAGACTGAGACAGACCCTCAGAAAAATTATTCAACAAACTTATTCTCCACCAGCACAAGACCTGATCTTCAGTGGATTTCCTTTGAGTTTGTTTAAAGATGGTAATTGCAGGGGTAGCCCACTGTTCACTTTTCACACCTCATCTTTTAAGTAACTAGCAATTTCCCCCTCTGCTGCTCTCTAGAACACATGCTACAAGTTTACATGAAGGTTCAGAAATCATGCTTTTCCTTCTATAGAGACATGTGGTGGATACAGTTTTTGGGTATGATGATGATTCTATGGATTCTGAAACATCATCTGTGACCTCATATAGAACAGACAGGACACCAGCAACCCCAGATGATGATCTGGATGAGGTAAGCTCTGACTCTTTTCACAGACAAGTTACAGGTTTTCAAGAGACGACTTTGAAAACAAGTGGTCGGGCTCTCAAGAACACTTAGGTTTTTATAGTGCATACTGAGTGATAAATACTTTTTAAGTTTGACCTTAATTTTTGTAGCTCATATACTAAAATGCTGAGAGTTTCTTCCACAATATAATCTGTAGAGTCTAGAGGAATGACTACCCTGCAGTTTGAGGTGTTTTTTTTTCCTCTTCTCTTTCAAGGAAACACACCTATCACATTTCCTGTAGCTTAAAGACATATCAAAATATAGTGAATGAGATGACAACTCAGCTGATACTGTGATATAAATGCTGTATAATCTCCCCATTTTTTTTTATTTCAGATCACAGCAAGCTTACACACTGTGATCCAAAATGCTATTTGAGTCAAGACCTGTGAACCAACTACTGTGCTTAACAAATCACTTTTGCATTCTTTGCTTTGACAGTGCTTTGCTCTCCATGGCTTAGACATGTCCCTTCTTATTCTTCAGGGTTTAGCAGCAGAAGAGTCAGAGCTGCGGTTTCGACAGCTGACAAAGGAGTACCAGGCCCTGCAGAGAGCGTATGCACTGCTGCAGGAACAGACAGGAGGGGTCATAGATGCTGAAAGAGAAGCCAGGGTCAGTATTGGTTTGAGTATTTCACTGTTGTCAGGACAAGAAACCCCTCAAAGGGACATACAATGGAATGGTGCTACATACAGTATCCACAACACTGAGAAACATCTGTTCACTCATTTACTGAATACATTTTGAAAGAGAGTGACCACTAAGAATGGACACAATCACGCAGTTTACAGGAAACTGTCCTTCACCTGAACCTGAAAACTCTGCAGTCAGGCAGGCATGCCAAAGCAGACAACTCTGCAGCCTGACACAGAATCACAAGAGTTTTCTCATCATTTGTCTAGGTGTGATGGGGATTGGGTTTTAAAGACAAATGAAGGCCTGTGGGTTTTCACAAAGGCACACATTGCACTAACTTCAGGGACATCTGAATGTTTCTAATAGATAAATGCAAATTACATTCGAATTTTAATGTGATGCAGGCTACAGTAAACCTTCCAAAGCTAAAAATGTTCCTCTAATAAAATTAAAGAATCATTCAGGCTGGAAGGAACCTCAGGCAGTCTCCAGCCCAAATTCTTGCTCAAAACAGTTAGCTGTGAGATCATATCAGTTTGTTTAGTATTTAGTTGAGTCAGCTCTTGAAGAACCCCTTGTCAGTTAAATTTGCCTCTTCCCACTACCTGTTGACACTGATCTGCTAAGCACTTTTTTTGTAATTTAGGGATTGCCCCTTATGAGGGCCTTGGGGCAAAGCACCTCAAATACCTGAGCTTGTGCTTTGCTGCTCCAATGCAATCCATGGTGGAATAGGCTTGGGTGGGGAGTTGGGGCTGATCCACTGCTCTGTTCCCTTGGTCGTCTGTGTGCCAGTCTCAGGGGTGGCACAAAACATCACCAAGTCAGAATCTTTCTAATGGTTGCTCACTCAGTGGAACTGACAGCATGAACCTAAGCTCTGCTGGTTTTGTTTTCCTTTTACTACCAGTCACATTGTGTGTTTTGTTACTTTTTAATGTGGTGCTTGACTTCAACAGGCTCAGGAGCAACTTCAAGCTGAGGTCCAGAGGTATAAAGCCAAAATAGAAGATTTGGAGAAAACTTTGGCTCAGAAAGGGCAGGTAAATAATTCTTGTGTGGTTTTTTTTTTTCCTATTTTGTATCTTGCCTGCTCTGCTTACAAAATACCAAGCACAATTTCAGTAAAAACTTCCACGAGATGTAATGTTGCCAGTCAGTAAAGAGGCAGATCTGGAAAGTTCAGAAGACTTGCTACACCTTGGTAAATTTAAAATGTTGTTGTTCTGTAAAAGACAGTTTGTTCCTGTAGGATGTTAAAGCCTGAATATCGTGGCTTTTTTAATAAATGTGCACAGCCTCATAGAATTTGATTATTCTATAATACTACTGCTTCATTCAACAGGACTCACACTGGGTGGAAGACAAGCAGCTTTTTATTAAGAGGAACCAAGAGCTTTTAGACAAGGTACGTTCCAAAGGTTTGCATGTTCACTCTGAAGGGTTATCTGGATCCTGTGAAACATCTTAAGGGTTTAGATTTTGCACAGCCTATGCTACCTCAGCTACTACTCACCAAATACTTCATGGTTCTTGCAACAGTCACACAGGTCATGATTTTACATGTTTCTGTTAGATAGAGAAAATGGAAGCAGAAAACAACCGTCTGCACCAGGAGCTGCAGGATGCGCGAGACCAGAATGAGCTGCTGGAGTTCCGCAACCTTGAGCTGGAGGTGATGGATGTGCTTCTTACAGTAGAGCTGGTAGAAAATTAAACTACTGCACTTGCACTGGACACCAGCTTTAATCAAGGATTTACACAAGTGTTGTAGCAATAGGACAGTCACAAATCAGGCCCAGCATTTTTAATTGTGAGCTGAAGTATATAATCTCTAATATCCTGGAAATAGTAAGCACCATACCCAGCTGGTTCACTTCAGCCTGGGCCAGGTGCCCAGTGTGCACAGGTCAGCTTAGCTGATTAACATGAGTGTGCTTCTTAGCTGCCACAACTGTAGGCATGATTTTTCTAATACTTGGAGACGCCTGTCTGTCCATGTGCAAGTGCTGTTCCTTTTGTGGGCACTGGACACATTCCCTATTGAGCAGCTCTCCCATGACCTGCAGTGGGTGCAAACAGTCTCTCAGCTGACACTGGACATTGATGCAGGAGCTTCAGAAGCCTCTGCAGGACCTCAAGCTCCCTCCTCCCAGACTGCCTCTAGTTACAGACTCTCCTTTGGAGCACCAGCCAGCCAACACTTCACCTGCTCTCTTCTCCAGTATAAGATGGTTTATTTTTTATTTGTTCTTTTCAGTTGCTGTCCAAGGGCAAATAAATTTGCCACACAGAGCCTTTTCTGGTTCTTATAACTTAATGCTGTGTCAGGCTTGCCCCTTACTCACAGAGCTGTCTCACAATTTTGTCTGACATCTGTGTTTTCATATGGCAGGGAGCTGAACTGATCAAGTGAATGACATGTTCATAAACCAAAAATGTGTGTGAAAGTGAAGTTTAATCTTTACTTCTGTGCTTGCCTGAATACCTGAAAGGAATGAGAAATAGCATCTTCAATTTTTTTTCTTATCTCTGATCCTTTAAAACTGGACAAAGATTTGTGAATTTTAAGCAATAAAGGTCTATAAATAGCTAAGTTGATCAGTTTTTTGAACACATGATTTTCCACAGATGTTAGAATGTACAGCGTACCAGGATGAGAAAAATGTGTAATCTGAGTCCCCCAAAAGTTTGAAGTAAAACTCCTGTTTCTAAAGGGAGTATTTGCAACAATGTAGAGTTGTTCAACACTTAATAAAGCAAATCACTTGAATGTTAGCTAGGTGACAGCCTTTCTACAGCCAGTTTTCAAATTGACATAATTTATCTAATTATTATCTATAATTTATCTCTCCTGTTAAACAGTTACCTTGGATTTAGCATCCTGTCCCACTTGGCTCACTTTTTCAGACTCAGTCTACATTTTCTTTCCTTGGCTTGTAGAATGAAGAGCTTGGCTTTGCAAGCCAAGCATCATATAAACAGCAGCTATGGCATTGTCTATGTGCATCTCTTTTATTCTAATAAATTCTCTAGCATATTTTCAATTAATTTGCAGGAAAGAGAGAGACGGTCCCCACCATTTAATCTCCAGATTCACCCATTCTCAGATGGTGTGAGTGCTCTACAGATCTACTGCATGAAGGAAGGGGTTAAGGTAAGTCAGTTGTATAAAGCAGTGCTTCTCCCTAGAGGAGTGGTGGGTGCTGCCCATATAATCCGTTACAGATAACTCCATTAGATTTCAGGTATTTAAACTTGGTCTAATGTAAGAGTGTGGTGACAGACACAGTTCAATTAAACTCAAAATTCTCTCCATAATGATAAAACCTGGTTCAAAAGCAACTGAAATCAATGTGTGATGCATTTCCGGAGGATAAAACAAAGTGGCTGACTTCCATGTGGTTCATAGGATAGATGGATATTGCAGCCATGATAAAATTATAGTGGATGCCATGGCTTTACCTTACTCTCTCTTTGCAGGATGTCAGCATCCCAGACCTTATAAAGCAGTTAGACATCCTAGGTGATAATGGGGTAAGTTGAAATGGGAGATAATTTTGTCTTTACAAGCTGCATTTGGTACAGTGCAGTAAGTGTTATGTATAGTTAGGACTCCAAAGATTTCCAAAGATGTTTCCAAAGTTGCTTGTTAAATTATGCATCTGTTACATATGGTTTAGCAGACTGGGAAGAATGTCCAAAGACCACCAATACTTGGGACTGGGCCCAACTGCACCCTATTCACTCAGGAAAACACATGAAGAAGTTTGACAGTCTGAATAAACCGCTCTTCATTAGGTCTAGGATTCTTTCTAACAGTTTCATAGATAGGCAAGAATTATCAGATTCCCTGTGGCTTTCTAAGGGGGCATAGCTGCTCATGTAAAAGAGATGCTGGATCTCTGGCCAACATTAGATATGTCTTTAAAAAGTTTATAAAAAAATAAAAACAAAGGATCATGTGCTGATATAGATCAGCACTATTTTTACAATACCTTTAATGGAAATTCAGTTTTGTAAAACTAGCATGAAGACAAACAAATGGGTCTAATTTTAGTTTTCATTTCTCTTACAGTGTAATGAAATGAATGATACAGTTAATTCCTATCATGTGGAAAGGCAAAACTAGTAGTCTTCTTAATATGTGAACAGACTGAATATTTCAGTGGAAACTGAATACTCAGTACTACAGAGATCCTCTGAAAACTGTGGACCTGGTTTGTAGGCTGGATTGTTCATGAAGGAAACTGCTGCCAGTTTTTCTCTTTCCTGTCTTTCTCTTCACAGAATTTAAGGAATGAAGAACAAGTGGCCATAATTCAGGCTTCCACGGTATTGTCCTTGGCAGAAAAGGTAAATTGCATGCTAGCTTTTCCCATGTGTTATCTAAAGCCTCATCTAACACATTTTCTGCCCTGTTATTGTCATCAGTATCGTTAAACTTTCTACTGCTGGGAGTATTGCCCAAATAAAATAAACTGTGCCAGCACAGTCCCAAACACCTTGCTGAAGCAGCAAAAATAACAAACTGAGGTAGCCCAAGCTGTGCAGTAGAAAAAACTACAAATACAAAAAAAAAACCATGAAACAAAACTTGCAATTGAAAACTGAATGAGAAATCATTAGAAATTTAAGCTTTATGTAATTAGATAAAGTTTAGGATTTACAGTCCTGAGATTCTAAAACTTCCAAAAGCATCTGTATGCCAAAATTTCACTGAAAGTATGTGTCGACATTGCTTGTTTCAAAAATTAAGAAGAAAGTGGGGGTTGGTTAAAACTGCTTTCTAAGGCTCAAATGCAGCACACAGATTTTCCAACAGGACAGCTTCCAAGGACTCTGCGTAACAATACCTCTTCTTCAAACAGAACTGCCATAAAGCCAACTAAGCTATTTTTGAGATGCTATAGCCCCATTGTAGGCCTTTATCCGTGGGATAAAATGTGTTCCTTGTCCATCCAAGGGTATGTGCTTTTCCATCTTCCAGTGACCCGGCAGTGGTAATCCTCTTTCTTGCTTCCCTGCCAAGTACTACCTGCAGACATCATGGCCTCTGTCACAAATGGCCTCAAGATGAGCCCAGCAGCAATTGGCTGCTAAAAACAGACTAACAAGATGCTGTACATATCCCACTTGCCACTGCTTGTGTGCTAGAAAACACAGCAGGTTACAGGTGTCATTGTCTTCTTTCCAGTGGATCCAGCAGATTGAGGGAGCTGAAGCTGCTCTGCATCAGAAGATGATGGAACTGGAAAGTGATATGGTAAGAAAACTTTCCTTATTACATGTTTTAGAGACACTGATTATGTCACACTTATGTTGACAAATGAACTGTTCAGCATTTCTCTGATAATTGGTGAATCCATAAAATTGTTCCTAGTCCAGATCACATGCAACAGCAGAATAACAGTAACAGAAATAGTAAAAGTTTAAAAAATTCTTTCTACGAGGATGACTATTAACAAGTAGAGAGGGTTCAAAGGTTTCTCAATAATTTTCAGAGATGCATGCATTATTTGTCTCATAAGATTCACAGACTAAACATCAGCTGTTGTACTGCCTTTTAGTCAAGACCAGCATGTGAGAAATTGTTGAACTGAATAGTAACACTGTTGGCTTTCATTACATACGAAGTAAGGCTAGTACCTTACCCTGTTCTTATTCTAGTTAATGTCAGTAGCCTACAAGATGAACAAACATAACTACAGGAATTAGACAGCTGTAGTGGCTTGTGTTTTGTTCCTGTGGTATGTCTGTACTTAAGTCTGTTCGGCTAAAGGTGGACTGATAAGATAAAGCACAGCAACTGTCCCCAAGGAATGTGAATGTATAGTTAGCTCCTGTTTAGTTCAGTCCACTTTTACACCTCTTCCAAAATAAGAGAAGGCACAAAAAGAGTAATTCCTGATGCCAGAGCAAGTATCTCTAGAAAAATCACACAGAACACCCTAAATTTCACTACTGAAATGTCAAGCAATACCACTGAAGCCAACAGAGAGGATGGATTTAGTTCTATGTCCATCAGATGTATTCACCTACAAGAGCAATCTACAGCTATTTGCTCTTCCTTCTTTTCTAGCTGAGTCAGATACTAATAACTCTGCTGAGTATCAGTCAAAAACCAGTCTCCTCATCCTGCTGAATTAGATATCTGTAAATTATTTGATAAAACTTCATAAAGCATTTGGAGTAACTAATTTGATTTTCTGTCCAAATGATCCTTCATTGTAGGAGCAATTTTGCAAAATAAAAGGTTATTTGGAGGAAGAATTAGACTACAGAAAGCAAGCTCTTGACCAAGCGTACATGGTATGTACAAAGGAAATACGGCAGCACATACTGGCCAACTCTGCAATAGCACACATACTTTTGTTGAATCAGGAGGAGAGATTTTTGCTTTTTTGTTAGTATTGGGGTTTTTTTAAATTTGTTCTTTCCTCATTCTTGTGATGTACTAGCATGCAATCTGCACAGCTTCAACACAATATCTCACCTTTTCATGTCATAAAAAGGTACATCGCCTGAAGTCTGAAATAATTGTCAGTTTAAGGCAGATATTGCTTATTAATATTGGCTTGTCCAGTTGGAGTTTTTTAGCGCAACGGGTGGGAATTTTAGGATTGGCGAAATAATTTACACTTCAGATAGGAACATTCCATCCAACTCTAACTCCATAAAAAAAGATCAGAAGTGAAGGATTTCAGTGAAAGTTAAAATATTTTAAAAATAAAAGTTCCTATCCTTTTTTCAGAACATAGAACCATTTTCTGAATTCAGTTTTTCACCTTTTTGCACATTTAAGCACAGGCACTGCCTCTCATGCATGGGTCTGAATCTGCCACCAATCCCCCAGTTTCCAATCATCTCTAATTGACTTTTGGTATTGCATCAACCAGAGGATCCAGGAGCTTGAAGCCACCTTGTACAATGCTTTGCAGCAAGAAACAGTGATAAAGTTTGGGGAACTACTCACTGAAAAACAGCAGGAAGAGCTGAGGACAGCAGTAGAAAAGCTAAGACGTCAGATGCTGAGGAAAAGCAGAGAATATGACTGCCAGATTCTTCAGGAGAGGATGGAGCTGCTCCAGCAGGCTCATCAGGTGAGAAGAAGAAACCACACACATGTGGTATCTACTCAACCTTTCTGTGTAAGAACACAATCTGAGCTCAAATCTCGGCAAGCTGCAGGCCATGAGGGAGCCTGGCATCTAGCTTTTTGAATTGTCTCATACTTTGTCTTTTCTGTGCATGCAAGCAAATGTGATACTAGCTTGTGCAAGATTGTTTTGGCATATTTTGAGTTTTAAAATTCTAGCCTAAAGTTTTCACCCCGAATTCTGTCTGCATAGTTCTATCTTTGTAACAAAAATGCTAATCCCCAGTTACTGGACTGGGCACAAGAGAAACGCAGTAAATGTTGCTGGCTCATATGGCACAGAAGAGCTGTCTGTTTTTCCAGATACTGCTTGTCCCTTCCAAGTGGGCATTTGTACTTTTCACTGCTGAGATAAGGTACTGCATTTCACCTTAAAAGACTGATTTTGCTGCTCTGCAAGCTGTGAAGTCCCAGAGCAAAATGGCAAACTGTCACAGCTCATTGAATAACATGAAAGCTGCACCATGAAACAGATCTGATTCAGACGTTTATAGGAGTAAGACAAGAAGCACATCCCCAGTGTTTAGGGGGATTTGGTTCACAGGAAGGCTCTGTTCTCACAGTCTTGCCTGATCCGAGTTGGGCACTTGAGACTGGGTCCATCCTTACCTTTTGTTGTCAGGCCTTTGCTGCATAAGAAGCTTCTTGATTTTAAACATGACAGCTGCCCCAAGGGACACTGCCCTGAGGGACACTGCCACAGCATTTTTGGCTTGTCAGAACAACTCTGAGCCAGCTCAGTTGCAGGCATGGTTGGAAGTGTCTGAGAGGCAAAGGAAGGAGGAGATAGCCAAGTAATAGGACAGGAGGCTGTGGGCAGAAACTTGTACGAGAGGTTCCACCTGAACATGAAAAAGAATTTCTTCATTGTGCAAGTAACCAAGCACTGAACAGATTACCCAGGGAGGATGTATAGTTCCCCTACCTGGAGATATTCCAAGGCCATCTGGATGCAATCCTGTGCCATGTGCTTGAGCAGGGAGGTGGGACCAGGTGAACTGCTGTGGTCCCTTCCCACTGACTCATTCTGTGATTTTGTGGTTCCATAGAATTTGAATTTGCTGCCATAAGCTAGTCATCTCACCTCCAGACATTGAGGAAGACAGTCACAGGTCACCTGTTCCCAGGTGCTCAGGCCTTCAGGTGTTTCCTGCTTTGCCTCTTTGGATTTCTGCTATGTGCTGGACAGCTGTTTTATGACCTGACTTAATTTAAAAAAAGATACTGAGATTCAAGGCTTCATTTTTGTATACTTAGAAGTTCTGTTCTGGGGGATCTCTCCTACCAAGCAGGCAAGAGTTTGTCATGGTACATAATTTTTCTTAAAGTACCTAGCTCTGCTAAAAATACACACCTTGTCTATAAGTTACATGTATGTCACTCACCACAGAATCAGTACATTCATAGTATTGTATACATTTATCATTTTGGATCTAATAATAACACATTAATGCTCTTTCAGCACATCAAATTGTGAAAAATATTAATGAATCATGATAGAATTTTAAAGATTATAACCATGATCTTACACTTTTGATCTGTTTAATACAGGATTAATAAATAGATAATGTGAAAACAGATCAACATTGATACTAATTTCCAGCATTTAGGGATCCAGTTACATATATGCAGGATCATATTTTGAGCAGTTGCACACATGGTAAAGGTGTGGTTTGGCGGGATGAGTGGATGGAGTCACAGTATGACACAAGATTGTCCCTGCCACAGAAATGGATTTGTTGATTTCTAGGTTTTTGGCACTTGGAATATTAAGCTACTTGTTCAGCGGGATAGATTTACTGAGATTTTAGTGTATATGCTTTCTTTTCTGATTTCCAGAGGATCCGAGATTTAGAAGATAAAACTGACATCCAAAAGAGACAAATTAAGGATCTAGAGGAAAAGGTTGGTTCTGTTATCCTTCGAAGCATACTGATTAACTTTGCTTTGAAAGTAGTGATCCAGTTCTCTTGAACTATATGACCTTTCTGTTCTGCTCAGTCAGCTGCACCTGTTGGTGGTGGTCCACTGTCCGTCCTTTTCAGTTTGTGTCAGTAGACACAGACTTTAATCTTAAAATAGTACATTACATTATTAAACATGTAATGGTGTGTGTTTGATATGGGTGTGTCTAGGTACCTGTAAACATACATGTGTACACATATATATTTATATATTTATATTTATGCATTTATATATCCAGGCTATTTCTAGCATGGATTGCAGCCACTGTCTTTTAACACACTTAAAAATACTACGCATGCTATTTTTGTTATCCAGCTTTATGACTTGTCATGGGTATCATGATGTGGCAATTACACCTCAGGCTTTCAATATGGTGCCAATTGTAATCTATCACCAAATTATTTGGATCTGTTTTCTAAGTCTGGGAGGTGGTGTGGTACTTAGAGAAGTAACAAGGGAAATAACAGTGTTTTCTGAATGAATAAATATTCTAACTGTTCTACAGAGTGCAAAAATATGATGTATACAATGCCATTACCTTTCATTCTTACACAGTCTTGTTTTTCTTCTGCAGTTTCTATTTCTGTTCTTGTTCTTCTCTCTTGCCTTTATTCTTTGGCCTTGATGTCAATGTGCCTCTTTGAAAGGTAAGACTGTTTTATTTATTTCCTCAAAGCTAGCACTTCTTGCACAGAGCGGAGGATCACATCCTTGTGTGTTCTTGTGGATGTTTGGAGTCAGCAAATGCAGCAGGTTGTTGTCAATTTGCAATAGTTCACAGTAGGGGGTTGTTGTACTGCTGAGTTGCTGGTGATATTGTGCTATTCATAATTGTAAAAATAAAAGCTAACAAGGAATTTCACAGTATCAAAAAGCAAAGGGAATTGCAGGGGAAATTTAATGTTGATATTTACAAAGGGATGCAGATGGAAAACACTCAAAATAACCTCAACCATAAACACAATCTGAACTAACACTCAGGAAGGAGATCAGGATTTTAAAACAGCTAGAGCTCTGTGTCCAGCAGCAGGAAAAATACAAAGAAGGACAAGGAAGAATGTTCAGCTGCTGAAAGACAGGAAGGGGAGACAGAGAAATGGAAGGATTTTCTGACTCAGGAAGTGACACTGCTAAAAGGAGGTATTGGAGAAGTCTAAAAAATTTGTCATAGAATGGATGGACAGACAGCTTGCTATTGTTCGCTGTCTAATACAAACAATTACCATGTGATAAGCTTAAAGAAACAAAAATTCATAGTCAAGGGTGGAAGTTGTAAAGAAGCCTGTCACAGTATGCTTAGCAGCTGAAAGTTCAGAGTTCAAAAGTTAGTGTGAAGATGAGGAAATAAATCAGAGAACTCTAATGGACCCATTTTTCTCTGTGGCTAGCCACTTCCAGAGCAAGGATGCTGGGCTACGACAATTTTTCTTTTGATCCATGATAACAAAAGTAGAACATAATATAGAAAACATAATGTTAAAGTCTCAAGAACATGTAATGACATCATAATTTTCTGATTTGGGGACAGACCCATACCATTACATTTCTCAGTCTCTCTTGGCTCTGGCTTCAGCTGTCAATGAATAATTCCTCTGCTCTCCACTTGAGAGAAGCTGAGATACATTTGTGTGAAAGATGTTCTGCCATGCCCTTCCATAGTTTATACCAGCTCATTCTTTGTTTCCAGATACAGTTCAAGGTATTGATTATAATAAAGTGCCATGGGTCCAGTTTGGTAGGTCTTCCTTTTCCCTTTAAGGAAAAGCCCCTACTTTGTCTTTCATTTCAGTTAGATCAAAGCTTTCATTTGCAGTTTTGTGCTGATGCAGAGACAACTCTCAGAATTATTCACATCAGCTGGAATCCACTGTGTCCTTGTTCAGCCAGACCTCGAGAGGAATGCCTCCTTGGGCTGAGGCAGCAATGTACATGGAGGTTGGCTTGAATGGGAAACAACCCATAGAGAAGATATGTGGCAGATCAGTGATCACAGCTCTTGTGAACAAGAGTCAGTATCATTACCAAGTTGCTGTTGTTTAAAATATACTGCCTTGATCCAGTGATTATGAAACACACATTAAGTTATGACTGCATACTTAATTGTGTTGCTACTGCAGGATTTCTGAGAACAGCATGGTATGGCTGTGAGATGTTTTAGGTGGCTTTACTGGTGAAAGTTTGACTTCACAGTTTCTTACTTATTCATAATGGAGAAAAAAAGTCAGAAATTCTTCTGAAGTGACCAAATTATGGACAGAATAACTCTAAGAAGCCAAGATTTTCACATTACACAGTAGTAGTAAATAACTTAATATAAGCGTGTCTTTTGCTTACCACAGAATCATGAGTCTAGAACAAGCAGTCAACCTAGAGGGAGATTCCAAATAATTAAAAAAACAGATTTTAAGGTGCACCTTGAAAAATTACAGGAACTGGTAGTGACAGTTGTGAGAACCTGCCTGCATTAATTTTTTCCATTTGCCTGTACTGTTGTCCTTTTTCCATTCCTATCACAACTAAAATAATGTCCTTGTGCAGCATATGAGAAAAACTTGGGCAATAAGAGGTTCAGAGTTTTCTATATATACAGTTTGCACCTACATTTCCCACCAGTGTGGGTATGGCATTGGTTCTCTAGTGAGTATTTGCCTCTTCTAGTACAGCTACAGAATTGGTGAGAAGCTTATACATCATAGTATTACCAGTACCAGTCTCCTAATACCATTTGCTGATAACACATTCTTTTGGCCTAATTTGAGGGCAGGTATTGGCTGGTTAGAAAAGCTAATGAGATGCTTAAGGTCAGAACTCCATATTTTTCCTAATTTCTAGTATGCTTGCTATTTTTCACTCGGAGTCATCCTGCTTCCATGGGCTGCTGGGTCCTGTTCAGCTATGCTCTTCATGGAGCTGATGCACACCTTGGTGTTGTGTTCATTGAACTGGACTAATAGTCAAAACAACATAAACATTTCTGTGCTGTCTTTAGGGCTGACATGACTGTCCCAGCTGCACAACTGACTGATGTCATTGCAGAGGAATTTACATGGATCCCTTAGGGACTGTGTCAAGAATTCACTTTCCTTGCCATGCCCCTTCTCTCACCACCCTCCACCCCCCATTCTGGCCCAATGTCCTTCAATAGGTTTTCGTCTTGTTTTACATAACATCTAAGGTTTAGCAGGTGTAAATCCCTTGGAAATCACTTCGTTGAGCCCAGGATTGCTGCTCTCACTACAATGCCAAGATGAGTTTCATTCATTGAAGTCACTGTTGCTCCATAATGGCTGGTCCCTGGAGCACACAGGGGTCTTGTTCCCCATAGAGAAGATGAGAAGCATCAGCAGGAACTGAAATGTGGGTTACAGCCCCACAAAGCTTGCTAGGCAGTTGTGGCACTCATACGATCGCCCAGGAGATGAAGGGTTCTTTTGCCTTGCCCATCCTGCTTTTACAAATTTGGCTTTATGAACATCAGGTAGAGATCAACAAGACGGATTATGGTGAGCTGAGTGACAGAGGAAAGAGCCATGACAGTGGCGGCGATACAGTGATTTAGAGACTCGACATTGACTATGAAGGTGGAAAAGTCTTATGGGTGAGGTGTGTCTGGGGGATATATAAACTCAATGCTTTTCCAGAGGATCTGCACTGCTGTGAACTCCCTTGAACTGTAAAGACAGCTGCAGCAGGCCCAGCATCACAGCACGCATGATACCTGTAGAGTGTTTTACCAAGGCCAGTCACTCCACAGGTGCAAAGCATCAAGTCTTGTAGCAGTTCCTCAAAAACAAGGTAATGGTAAGCTCCTCATCCCCTGCCTTCACCCCTGCATTTTCCTCTATGGGATCCTATCCCCTCAACACCTGAGGGGAAATCTCCAGACACAAGCAATTTGGGAATGGTGTTGGCAAGATAGAGAGGGATTTTAGCAAAGCCATATTTTCCAAGGCTGGAATACATGGAATTGGAGAGAATAACTAACATTGATTTGTGTTGCCCATTCGTGTTAAAAAACACCTGCCTACCCAGGTGATTTAATTCAGCAAAGGTGAGCATGGCATGGAGAGTGTGCCATCAACATTTCTTCTTACAACTATTCACCTGTATATTTTGTAAAATTGTTTACTTCCACTGGATGCAAGTGAACTATCCTAGCCTTATCATAAGGGACTTCATACAGATCCCTGACAAAACAAATAAAAAGCCCAGCTCATCCTAGGGAGCCTCTTGATGGTGAAAATCTTTGATTTTGTTCAAGTCTTGGTGCAGTTATATATCCTTTACTGATCTTTTAACCAGGAGAGAGAAACCCACAGTGTGGTCACAGATGATACCTTCTGGTTTCCTTCTCACCCAGAGTGAACACTTGACTCACTGCTGTGCTCAAATAACAAAGGACAAGAATGTGCAAATGAAGGAAGCCATGTGCAGCAGATACAGTATCCAGACCAGAAGCTCTCTAATTCCTGTTTATATGGGATTTTCCTACCTGCATTTTCTCTGTGCTTGTGAACATATATATTCACTTGTTTGTGATCACATAAAGAAGTGTGGTCTGTGTGGATTTTGCACCCAGTGAATTTTACTACGTAGGCTTGAAATGCTGAGATAACAAAAACCAAATATGCCCTTTTTTCCCTGGTCTCAAACCTGAGAACTAAAGTTATTTTTCATAGGTAGGGTAGGCTTTCTCAGGAAAGCAGCAGTTTCTGTTTGCCTCAGTGCTGCATTAGCCAAAATTCCAGGCTTGCTCTGACACCTCAAGGGTATTGCCTGCTGCTCTTGTTACAGGTGAACGTAGGCAGCCTTGGTTCAAGAGTCATTGAAATTTATGCATACTACTTATGTGAACATGCCCATGGGGACTTTTATGCACCACAGGGTTGAACTTTGTGGCGTTTAAATGGATGAATGTATCAAAATACACTGAATTTTCACAGTGATTTTCATACAGACAAAACAAGTTTCACACTGATAGCTGTAAGACCTAGCCTTTTCAGCTTCCTGACTGATAGATTGATTGTATCTTGGCAAATCTGGAATAGGTGGGTAGAGGAACAAACTTACACCTTATCTGATACAGAGGTTGTTTTTTTTTTTTTAAACTTTCAGAGTGCCCGACCATGCAGATAAGTCCTTATAAAGGCAAATGCTTCCACCCCTCGATGAAGAGAATATTGTTTACACCTATTTTCAAAAGTATAAAAATGAACAGCCTGTAGCCAAGACTGCAACCATCTTGTATTTTAAAGCCATCACTCAAAATTTGTTACCTGAAAATTTCTGTCTAAAACTATTATATATGCTGCATCTAATGAAATCCTGTATGTGAAATTACAAAAGGGGAAGAAAAATAAACCGACAACCTACATCACCTAGGAAGAACGTAAAGGGAAGGAACCACTTTCAGCTGATCAAGTCAGTGTGTCTTGGGCATGGAACCAAAGCTACAATAGAAAAATCTATTCCTGCTGTGCAGGGCAATCATTTAAATGTCACCCTGTCATCTGACAAATGGATCAGAAATTAGCAGATCAGAGTAGGAGAAACTCAAGAGATGCTGACAACAAAGTGCTCAATTTGAAGTGTGTGGCTTGCTGCAGGGACTCCTGCTCTCCCTCTTTGCTTTTAACCTCAGGAACAAATGACAGCTGCATTGTGGAAGAAAGAAAGTAAAAAAAAACAGTCTGTGTTACTGGAGGATGGGCAGGACAGGTCACCATGCTTTATGCTTGAGATTGTTACACAGCACCACCTGCCTTGGCCAAGGAATGGAAGAAGAGGGTAAATGGCATAAGGAAGGTTTCCAGTGGAGTTGAAGCCATATCTCTCTTCACCATCCCACCATGAAGAACAGTCTGTCTATTATCAGATACTTTTCATATTCTTTAAAGACTGCCACTGAGGTAATAATGACTATACTTGGTTTCACTATTAAGTAACCACTGAGGATCACTGAATTGGACCTACAGAGTAGCTTCTGAGAAAGAGAAGAAATGTTGGAGGACAGGGCAGGGAGGAATGCTAATCCCCTATCCATGTGACATGATTGACAAAGCATCAGCTTCCAACTGTTTTGTCCCAGCTTGGAAAAAATGTTTTGGTTCAGCTTGTTAACTGACTTTGTTAATTGGCTTCCTGATCAATGATACACAGACCAAAAATGGGGAAAAACATTATGAACACAACCTTATTGCAAATAAGAAATATTGCTAGTCTGTTTAGATTTTCCACTGATAAGAGTAACTAAAATTGTTTTCATTTGAAAGCATTACTTACCTCTGTAATCACGAAGCCTGGAACCCAGCTGTGTTGCCTCCCTGAGGTCATAGGTCCATGCACCCAGTACTTTATCAGAAATGCAGGTCCACGAACCCCAGTACTCTTTCAGGAGAGTTTTCCTGTTACTATACCACATGAAAGAAGCACGATGTGAGTCGCTGCTATTCCAAAGGTAATAAAGAGGAAGTTTTATTTCTGACTCTAACATTTGTACTTTTCTAAAGGTGACAGTGGATTGGAAGGTGAGCATACCACCTCTCCAACGAACTACTAGTACGTTAAACTTCTCTGCCTCCACAAAGGAATGTAAAACAATAGGTTGTTTACAGAAAGTTGTGTGAGAAAGTTTTCTACAAGAATGTAAACTCAGAAGGTTTTAGAAAATCCTAAAAATCATGGTGACATACTCCCCGAGAAGCATAATGCCTGCAGCAGTCACTGTGAGGGTCCTGTGCTGAGGGAAGCAGTGCAGCCAGCTGCACCCACCTTCCCTTTCTCACTGATGGGCTTGACATCACACTTCTCAGTGCCTCTGGTTTCATTTCCTGGGGAATGGAGTCCTGCCTGTTCAGACTTTGGATTCCTGTGGCAAGGCTCTGTCTTCTGTGATGGACCCTTAATTTTAACTGGCAGAAGTGGATTTCTGTACTAGAAATTAGAAAATTAAGGGCCAGTGTGCAGGTTGTGCATTACTTACACTTTCAAAGCAGGGATCACATGTACCAACATCTTACACACATCAGAAGCTTTTAAAGCTTGTGAAGAGTTTTTTTGAACAGCTTCTCCTTCATATGCATGCAGGTAATTGCATTCCCAAGGGTTCAGGGTGGAATGGGGGCTGGTAGTCTGACTGCAGCAGACCTGGGTCTGCAAACTTTTCAAAGATTGTTCTTCCCTCCAGGGAGCTGAGCGACCGCTGCTTTACTGTCCTTGCAGCGTAACACATGCCATGCCTAAAACACACATGCTGATGTGAGTTAATACAAACTTCCTGCTATCAGCTAGATTAAAATGAGTTTCATGTCTGTGTGTGTATATATATATATATATATACACACATGTATCTATATGTATATGTACATATATATACATATATATGCATATACTTAGCAATTCCCTATTGTATATAGAAATTATTGCTGTAGCTTACGAAAGTTACTTCAATCTAGGCATGGGGAACTGAATCAAGATTATTTAGCTGCCACAGCTGGTACGTTCTTCCAGGTTTAGTTTCACATCTTATGGACAGCTAATTTTTGATTTTTTTTTTTTTTGGACCCTTCACTCTCCTTGGACTGTTAATCCTGGGCTTTCTGCTGTTCCTGATGTTCATTGAAGGAAAGGATTGAGAATCCTCCCTCAGATTAGTCACTGCAGCCAACCTCCCCTCCCCAAAACCAACAAGAAAAAAAAAATCAATTTACTGCAGCCTTTGAGGACAGCGAATACAGCCCTGGATCCCTCCCATGCATCCATTCAAGGCTGTTCAGGAGTAGCTGCACTCCAGGCTATCCATCCTGCCACAGAAGGTAGTACAAATCAGCTTGACCACAGTTTGACTTGCCTTTTTTTTCCCTCAATGACCAAATTATGAGACTTTGAAGACTATTTTTTGAATTTAATCACTTCAGATGAGGGCCTGGTTAGGTGAGATGAATTTAGGCAATTGTGGTTGCAGTAAGGAAATGGTACTTGTAGTGTTACCAGCCTGGCTCACAGATCCATCCTCTCTTACTGATGCGCCTGGAGGACAAGTGGGGAATTTTTTTTAGGTGTTCATCTTCCAACCGCTTACTGTTATCTCAGTGGGAAGTATCCTTGAAATGCAAAGCTTTCAGTTCTGTGGTATCCCATGAGGATTGCCCAGGCCAGGCTCTCCTGACATGAGTAGGGCTCAGAGAACAAACTGATGGTGATCCAAAAGGTTTTCTCTTCCCCTGCCCTCTCTCACATCAGCACCTCTGTGGTTTTATATATACTTTTTGTTCCAGATTTTTTTGGTGTCTATTCCAGAACAAAACTGTAAATTACTTGGCAGAAAGACCCTTTAATAAACACTGGACATGTACCTGTACTATATGTATTAACGTGTAGGAGAGAATCCTTATTGTATGTAAAGTTTTATGAATGGTTATTTTTTAATTTATGTATTTAATATAGGATTCAATGACCTCTGGTGTTTTAGTTTGTATAAAAAATAAAGGAGCAGCATTTTTAAAAAAATAAACCCAACACTTTACGTTCACAGAGATACTCAGCATATCTGGAGCCTGTTCAGAGGAATCACGTTCAAGCTGAGCTACGGAGGCCCATGCTGGGGCGCGGGGGCTGGGACACAGCAGGGGCTGCGGGGGTCACGTTGGGGTGGGGAGCACACCGATTAAAGAGTGAGCGAGATCCTGGCGCGGTCACTGGGAAAAGGGACGGCAGGTAGCGGGGCCAAGGGTGAACTTACTGCTGTTTGCCAGCCCTGTGCAGAAACCAAAACTAACAGCCAGCTGCTGCCGTTCTGGAGCCCGCGGCGCACGG